TGGTCAGCGGGACGGAATTAAAGGTAACGTTAGCATCACCAATGGAGCTTTCATGTCAAGTTTTAGCGTTATTTGTGACTACAAACGTTTTCTTTTAGTGGGGCACGCAGTGCTGTCCATCAATGGAGTTGATGTTCTCGGAAAAAACACAGCCGATGGAAAGGACATCCTAGAATATTTAAAGGACCCAGCAAATTATCCGGTGTCGATCCGGTTCGGACGGGCTCGCCTGAGCTCCAACGAGAAGCTGATGCTCGCTTCCATGTTTCATTCGTAAGTAACTCTGGGATCAACACTTTATAGGGCAAGTTACCAGTTTTGATCACTTGCCTTACAAATTGAGCCCCCCCATCCCCCAGTGAGGTCTAGAAGCCCAAGATCTATATCCAGCCATTCAGCAAAGAACCTGCTACATGGCTCTATATCTTATTTTGCATTTGACCAATTAGATGAGCCCTTGAATGATATATTACCTACTTTAAATTAAGTTGAAAAGGACAAGTTAATTCAATAAAAAATAAAAGATATAAAAACTAATTAAAAAGTAAAGTGAAAAAGTTAATAAGCAAAGTTAACAATTATATTTAAAGTAAAAAAAAAAAAATTTAAGTGCCAGTAATATAATAATGTCCCTAACGTTATGTTGGACCAAAAAAATTTGTTTCTTTCACTCTCCGAGTGTTGTTCATGAATTTCTTATAGAAGAACATTTGTTATTTTTCTTAATATATTTGGGCAAGATGGTGTTTCTTGTTATTACATTGATATTAATTTTTGCCATCAAAATATCCATATTTTTTTTTTATGTTACAAAGGTAAAAATGTCTTGTCCTGCATTCCAATAACACTGTTGGCTTAAAAATTTTGATTTTCAAAGTATTACACTAAGTGCCCTATAAAGGGTTAAATGGGTTTGATTGTTGCGGTCATCTGAAATGTGTCATTATTTTTCATGTGCAAGATTTTAGAAAAATCCCATTTGGATGCTAAGATCCTATCCAGATCCGTCTGACATCACTGCTGCCAAGCGAACATGAAGCATAACTACATATAGTGATTTAATATCACAATGTTTTTTTTAATATATCACTGCTGCTAAAATTGTCTAGTGAGCTGTTCTAAAAAAAATTTCTTTTTGATCAAATAAAATCTGTCTAAGTCTCTAAGTCTAAGTTTAGCTATAGGTGTAAATCACGATCTGGAGCCAAACTTTCTGTTTGGTGGAGGTATGGCCTCTCAGAGTGCTTTTCTAGTTTTATTATATTAGAACAAGGATGTGTTTGTATATATGAACTCAGGTTGAAGGTATTTAACATTGGGTTGTGCACATCTTCATCAGGTTTTTATGAGTCACCGTTTTTGAGCGAAAGTTAGCATTTTTTGATGAGGTCTGTGGGGGATAGATTCAGGAAAACCTAAATTTTTGATATGGAAAAAGTTATATAATGTAGAAAACTAACACTGCGGAGAATAGAAGAGGATAATGATAATTTGTTTGTAGAAAGAAAAAGGATAAGGGAGAGCACATGTATTGAAAATAAGCAAAATTATATATAGGTACTGTATAAGTTTAGAGGTTTTATAAAGGCACTGTTAAAAGTTGTACAACTTGTGCAGACTACAAAAAATTTGACATTTTTTAAAGAGAATACCGTGGATGTAGATTGTTGGGATCAATGATGGTTATACAGAGGAAGGAGCTTATATGGATTTAAGAAGCAGCAGCGCGTCACTGAGGGCGCTGTCCAGTGCTGGAACGGGGCCTTTCCTGTCTCCCACCACCTTCCCTGGGTTTACCTTAAACGCATCGCAGTGAAACACTGGAGGCATTGCACATTGGGGAAGCTTCTGTTTAATATAGAGAGGGATGTTGGTTAGAGTTGATGGGAAGATATCTGGAGCTCAGCACTGGTCAAACACAGGAAATAAACCTGCTAGAGGCTGCAGAGGAGTTGAGTCTGGGGCTAAACACACAGCCAGAGTTTGGAAGGAATGGTTTAAAATAAAGCATATCTTGTATTAGAATGATTCAGTAAATTCTTTGACTCGTTCTGCTCAAATAGTTATTTTGATAAGAATGTGGCATTTTCTATATCTGGATAGAGAAAAAAATGGTAGAGGAGTGTGTTTTTATCGTTTTATTTTCTCAATTTTAGCTTGTAAATTACAATTAAACTACGTCCTATGTTTGGACTATCGGTTAACACAGCTTTTAGGACTGAAAGGACTATTATTTCTAAAAGAAAATGCGTTTTTTCCATCTTATGTGATACAAGTGTCACAAAATTCCCTAGCTTTATTAGTGTGGCTCTGTAAATTTATTGTCATAGTTTTAAAGTGATGTTCACAATAACCTGCTTTTGTGTTGGATTTCTCCGTAGGTTGTTTGCCATCGGTTCACAGCTGTCTCCTGAAGTTGGCAGTTCAGGTATCGAGATGCTGGAAACTGACGTCTTCAAACTCCACTGTTTTCAGACGCTTACAGGTTGGTACCTTCATAGAGTAGCTGTTTCTATTTATGTTGATATCGTCACATAGCACCATTGTACAGAAATGAACATTTTACTACTTGTGTACAACATTATGCAAACAGTTTTTAAACACATTAGGAGACAAATCCCAGTCAACCATGAGCAGTGCCTCAGAAGCTGATCTTATTCTATGTTTAGAATTGAAAATTCTTTCTACTTCTTTACATTCATTCTTTTGTGTGTTTGTCTTTGTCCTACATTTGTCACGTTTTCCGAATGCATGAATTTAAATCAGCCTACGGTAATAAAACAATATGGAACCCAATCAGTGGTTTTTAGGTATGAGTACTGCATAATATTTATGTGAAAAGCAGAAAATACTCCAACACAAACTTCATTATTACAGAAAAGACTCCAGCTCCCTCCACATCTAAGGGCCCCTTTGGTAAAGACGAGTATAATCCTTCAGAAAACGAGTCTTTAATTGCAGCAACATGTCAAACTAAAATATGTAGAATACATCAGATGTTTAATTCATGTTAAGAGGTGTTTATCTGTAGGATTATCATTGCCACAGTAGTTGTCGTTTTCTTTTATTTCCACTCTAAATTAGTAAGCTTATTTAGCAACTTAAAGTTGCTCTGGGTTATAAAGACGAGACGCGACTGATGCATGTCTCTCTTATAGCCTTTTCCCACTGGCCGAAAAACTAGTTTAAACCCGGGAACAATTGGCTTTTAGTGGCAGTGGGAACAGCTCACTGATGTGTGTCTACTTAGATCAAACGGCTCTGCAATCGATCTGCGTAAAAATCTCCTAGGCGGCACACTGTGGGAACACCAGAGCTGAGTTGATCCGCTAAATTATGTGTCACCATGGAACGCAACATATGGACGTCAACACACTGCAGCAGTCGCTTCTAATCTAACAAGCAGAAAAATTCCTGTTTACTTTGATAAACATTGAGCAGCACTGGTTGGATGGATTTTCAGGGACAAAAGTGCAAAACGATAAAGCCCACTTATTACGCCATGGCTTCCTTACATGCTTCTCTCAATTGTTTACTTTATTGGTTTCTGTGGCAGTGGTGACATCATTGCTAGACCAGCGTGATGGTGTAACCAGACAGGCAGCTGCAGGAGGACAGAGGCCACACAGTTTGCCAGCGAGGGGATAGACACGGCTTTTGTTGCCAGTGAGAAGGGGGCCAAATGTTGATTGTTAGCATTTTAACCCATGTTTGAAAAACCGGGTTTAATGTGCTATTTTGAGTAGGAAAGAGGCTTTAGTCACTTTTTAGAAGGAATACTGTGTTCTGGTAGGATACAGGCAAATTAACTTGTCCAGATCAACAGTCAATAATTCATTTTCTTTAATTAAAGAATTGAACGGTAATAAAACAAGAATGATTGACCTACACTTATCTTCCAACCCTGTACATTGAGCAGGCTAGTAAAGAGGAACTAATCTGCACCAAAAAAAAGTGTCTTCTTTGGTTCACCAGGTTTTTATAAAAAAAACTACAGCACCTCTACAGATCTTTACAATCTGTACTAACTATGGGACCACTCTTTACTCAAGAACATCTATTTCTGAAGCCCTTTTTGGAGAATTAGTAAATACACCATCCTGGACCCTGAATGAAAAGTAGATTTTTCTAATACCTTCTTTTATTCCTGTCAAAGCTCACTATCATTGCTTTTAATGTGATTATTCCATCTTTTTATCTCCCAGGTATAAAATTTATTGTGCTGGCAGACCCTCGGCAGTCCGGTATCGACGCCCTGTTAAAGAAGATTTACGAGATCTACTCAGATTTTGCTCTGAAGAATCCGTTCTATTCTCTGGAAATGCCCATCAGGTACATGGACAGTAACAGATTCAGATTTTATAACGGCTAAACTGCCTGTTGGCATCAATTGTTGAGGTTTGATTTATTGATTTTTGTCCTGTGTTTGGATCCAGGTGTGAACTATTTGATCAGAACCTGAAAAGTGCGCTGGAGGTTGCAGAGAAAGCTGGAAACTTTGGAGCGGGGTCCTAAACCAGATTGGAGTTTATTCCTCCTCATAGCATACTGTATATAAAATGATTAACTGGAATGAAACGAGTGCATTTTTTGTATTTCTTTTGCCTGAAACTCTTAATCTGACTTCTTATCAAGGCTGTATATATATAAATATAAATTAAGTGGTGTAAATACTTGACACAATACATCCTAAACACTGTAATGCCTGGATGTGTTTTAATGTCAGTTATTAGTGTTTTAGCCTCTTGAATTGACAGGTGGTTGAGTATCAGCTGTGTAAAAAAATGAAGGGCAATAGAGATAACATCTTTGGCACTTTCCATTTATGATTTGTCATTAAAACTTCTTTTTAATAAATGTACCATTTGGATCCTTTTGTGTAGTAAAAATATAGTCTTTGAGTAGGGAAATGAATCCACTTGTGCAATATGCACACTCAATTAAAACAGGATCTGTCAGTATCATCAATATTGAATATCAAGAAGCAACTAGAACCAGTAAAAAAACAAAATAAGATAAATTTTAGTGTCCTGATGGATTGATAGCAGAAATCTTAGAGTATTAAAATGCTGAAAAATATATTGACATCTGTGGTTTGAAGGGTTGAGGTGTGACGTTAGTCTGCCTTCTTGGGCAGGCGACCCATCTTGGTTCGGATGTTCCGCAAGAGGAAATACCCAACAGCGGTGACCAAGCAGGTCATTTCTGCTACCCAGAAAGCCGTTTCCCAACCATGGTGCTTGGCGATGGTGCTGAAGGGTAATCCAGACAGGAAGCCGCCAACTGCAGGAGAAAATTAATGGATGACATTAAGCTTGGATCATGTGAAACACATTTTGTTCAACAGTGATTTCTACTTAAACACGCATAAAGGCAATAAAAAAAAACACAATGGAGGCAAAATAAGTTTCTAGCTTTTTTATTTTTATGTTGCCATCATAATCTTTGATGTAAGAGATTCTTGGTAACAGATCCCATAGTTAATGATTAGCTGAATGGAAAAATGTGTGTATGGTTATACAGGGAAAAAAGTCTGAAAAGTGTGGCCTGCATTTGTATTGGGCATCTGAAGTCAATACAGATTTTTAGGGAAGTCTTGAAATTTTTTTTATAACTCTTTTCAGTCATTGCCACAGCATACTGCTGCCAAGACCATGCTTCACAATGTAGCATATCCAAGCTTCATTTTCTCTAAATAAACTAAATTTAAACATCTTAAATTAGGCTTTACAAACATTAACAGACCAAGTCCACTGACTTTTTATTTTATTCCATCCTTCACAAGTTTGGTTGCTATTTTTCCGTTACAAAACCTAGCAGTATGGGGAGCAGTATTGGTGCGTTCTGTTCTCCACAGTCATAGTTTCTTAAGTAGGAAAATTGAACAGAGAAGACCTCAAAAATTGGAATTCTTAAGTTGAATAGTGGAGGAAAGCAACCAGACCTAACTTCCACATTTAAGATGGATGCTCCTTGCATCAACTGCTATCAAACTTTCCTGCTCTTACTGTTTGTAGCAGATCTTAATTTTCTGTCACATTAAAGTCAGTCTTTCACTTTGACTTTTAAGCATTTAAAGACATGTTTCAATACTGTTTATATGTGCAAAATACCACATAGGAAAGCATTTTGTCATTGTCATGGTTGTGACGTCTATGGCTAGATATGAGTAATGGAGAATATGAGCATCAACAAGTCATTCCAACTTTACAGTTTCAGGTTTTTAAGATAATAAAACCGTCGGTCTTGTAAACCTCCTGATATCCAACCTTTCTCACAACTCTGTGAACAGAATCCAGCTCCAGGAAAAAGCTTATTGTATGTTAGAAAAATAAAGCTCAAATATTCATTCACTTTGCTGACTACTCCATTATTGCGAGGGTGTAAACGTTAATGACGTGAGCCTAAAAAATAAACAAGGATTTAAATAGTTGACAAAAATTGTCTCTGCATGTAGGGGTTGGAGTTAGGTAGCTTAGTTCTAAAGCAGTAACCAGAGCTAAAAATTACCCTAAAATAGTGAATGGCAAAGTAATATGTAGCAGCATAGATGGCTTATGGTATCAGGTTAGGCTATTTTGGTATTTAATATATTCATTTTTCATAATTTCCTTAGTTTATTTATTTTAGAACCTGCAGAAGCCCAATGTTTTAAGGGTGTCAGAGTAAAGGGGGGATGGTTAACAAATGGAAGAAATTCCAATCAGAACATTGCACACTTACTGTTGGCCATCAGGGCAACGATGGCATGAGACGTCCCACAGTAGTTGGAAGGAGCGCTTTCATTGGCTAATATTCCAAACAATGCTATTGGTCCATATGAGGAGAATCCGAAAGCAGCGCCCAAGCTGAGTATCCAAACCTGAAGGTATATAAAGAAAAGGGTGATTATCCAGCCGAGGGGCGTTTCCCTTGACCTGGGAACGTTGGGGGATGAGCCCACATCCCAGTAAGGGAATCTCAGGGGATTTAATTTGGAAAAACTGCTTTTTTATTGAAGCATCCTTGAGCATCTGGCACCTTGTTTGAAGCCAAATCCTGCAATATGTAAAGTTCACTATATATAAACACCTAGAAACAACGTTTAATTTAACCCATAAATATCAGATCCACAGATTCGAAAAACCTTTGGAAAGAAATTATTTTCACTCTCGAATGAAACAAAGTGCAGCGTGAAAGCAGTTTTAAATTCATGCTGGTAGTACAAATAAAAAGTTACGGTCTCATATTCTTCTCATATATCTTATATATAGACCTGTATATAAAAGCGAAATTACACTTTTTATTTTTTTAACTTCTCCTTTTTGATTATTGCAGAAAAAGAAAATGTAATGTTCAGGGCTGACGAATATAAATTATTTTCCTTTTAGCTATAATGAGGCTGATGCAATACCTACAGAGGTATTCATTAAAGAAAGATGTAGAAAATATTAGTTATTTTTAACTTGATTAACAAAAGCTAAAGATGTTAAATATGTTACTACACCCACTTCAATGAGTTCAGTTATTTTAGAAACTGCCTTATAATGCCATGACAATGCTGAACGTAATCTAAAAAAAAATAAATAAGTAAATAATCAAATCATTCATTTCTATGACAATAAAAGAAACCAACATCCTAATTCAATGGATATAAAAAGAGAAATTACAAGGCAGAAATATTCCAAGAAGGTCTATGTGCCTTTTTCATTTGGGCCTTTATATAAAAATTGAAAGTTAGATCATGAAATATTAATTTTGGACATAACATAGGGATTTCATGGGAAGAAATTAAGTAAAGTTTTAAACCAACTCTCATGAGGTGGAAGAAATAAAATCCTAAAGTTAGACAAAACATACTAAAGATGCTGTGTTTCAGCCACATACCGGTATATTTTATCAGGTAGCTGGTAGCGACTGCAGAAACAGCAACGAAAGACGTTAAGCAGAGTTTCTCAGAGTGTAACACAAACCAAATGGGTTTAAATCCAGCAAATGTCTCACAGCAATCAGAAAAGGGAACAATTATATCAAGCTTGATATCATGTTGTCATCATGAATGAGCTTCCTTATAATCACATCCTCTTTTAAACATGCCAGATTTAAATCTCTTCTTTGTTTGTCTATTCCATGTGGTGGCTCTTTCTGCCCACTGCTAGCCACCAAAGAAGAATTATTATGTAAACTTTCTTCTGTTACAACTCTTAATAGTATGAGCGCTGATAGCCAATAAAACATGAATGAGTGCCGCTTCCATACAAACTCATCTTTCATTGGTCAATGTTTTGTCTTTGCTGAATTTACCAGAGCTGGGAAATTACAAAACTTCATATTATTTAAAGGTATAATGGAAGATTTTCACACTTTTTTTAAAAGACCAGAACTCTTCACTTACAAAAAAAAATGCACATGCACAACCCTGTACCTGCTTCTAAGAGGGAACACCTCTTAAACACATGTGAGAGCATGCATGATGCTATTTCTCCTCATGCACGCTCTGTTTAAGAGTTTCTGTTTGCATCGCTCATACAAGCTTACTTTCTAAAAGAAGATTTCGAAGCTTCCAGCCATTGGCTTCTACCCTCAGAGATGCCAGCGTTACCTTTGAGCTGTCAGCAGTCACTGTGACTCTGAACAGGAACATGGACACAGACATTCCAGCCATCATACAGATGAGGATGAAGTGACGAGGATGGCCGTAGATTCTCAACCCTTGCTGTGTAGAAACAGAGACGTAGGAATAGTGAGTAAAACAAGCCAAATTTACGAAAACTTGTTGGAGATTAACAGTAAAAGCACTGAAGCCTTTTAGCTTGGCAAATGTTTACATTTACAGGATTGCTGTTGTGCACCTAAGTATTTGAAATGGTAATAAACAAGCATATATGCATGTTTGTTTTTCCATCAGGCCCTCAGAGGATAGTGAGAGGAGCTAATGGTGTCTTTGCAAATGATGTTATATATTTATTCATTCATTGGAGCGAAGTCCTCTCTTTTTGAAGTTTTTTCTTTTTTTTGTCTGATTTTAAGCAGAATAATAAAAAAACTCGATCAGCCTTACTTTGGCGACAGCCTTGTCAGAGATGTAACCTGCTGCCAGACTGCCCAGCAAACCTCCAACCTCCAGGGCACTCATGTATGAGCTGCCTGCGAAGAAGAAAACCCATTCACCAGCTGTCATACACCGAACTCGTAGCCCATTTCTCTACAGACCCTGGAGGCGTCTGTTTGCCCCATCCATTTTCTGTACCCATCAGCGTGGACTGGCCCTTGTCTTGGATGAGGAACAGCTGCCCCCAGTCGGTGCAGGCTGTCTTCACCCCGAACACCACCAGGTAGGACACGGACAGCAGCCATAGGTAGGGGGAGAGCAGGAACTCAGAGAGGGTGCTGTCATCTCTGGAGGAGCCTGGAGGAGAAAGTAAATGGATAAAACCAAAGGCTCCATACGTCTTTGTACCATGACATAGTGACCGATGAGACTTTGAACCAAAAACATTGACACCTCCTAATATCACAGTGTTCTTATCAAGCCTGCGTTTGAGTAAAGTCCATCCAGTCAGCGACCTTTAGTCGCAGCACCACAAACGCATGCTGTAAGACAACACAGCCATCTGACACAATAGACAGACATCCGTTATCTATGACAAGCCTGTGTCGAAACAGCAGAGTCTGTCTAAATCTTGCCTCCAAGTGCTCACTCAGCATCAGTCTCACCTCCTTTGCCTTTCTTGGCGGTCGCCTCTATGTTGGGCAGCCCAACGTCCTTGGGCTCGTTCTTGATCACCAGCAGGCACACAAACGAGACGGCCACGCAGATCATCCCAGAGACAGACAATATCGTCCTCCAGCTGTAAGTCTGAGCCAGCACCGTGGCGATGATGGGGCCCAGGCTGCCGGCCAGGTTCATGCTGCAGGAGAGAATGGCCCACCATGTCCCGAACTGAGAGGGTTCAAACCACTGAAACAAACAAAGGGTCACAACGCTGGCTTTAAATGACAAAAACAACACACTTAATCTAAGAGAAGTGTAGCAAAATGTCCCGCCTTGGGATCAACCAGTCACAATTTGACTGCAAAAACCTCTTTAAATTTAATTGGTTGTTTGGGAGTAATGGCAAAAAAATAGACTCTTCTTTTCTATCTTTGCTGATCTAAATGTGGAGTTTGCTCCTCTGACTTTAAATTGAACAGTTAACTTTAATCAGATAAGATTAAGAAAAAGAAAAAGGTTTTCAGCAAAACAAAAACAATATAATTGGTTCTGACACTAAAGAAAAAGCACAGAAAAGTGGAAAACATTTCATCCCAACTGAGAAGCACAGTGGTGGATGTGTGATGGTCTGGGAATGAAGGCACAGCACCTTAAACTCAAGGCATCAAAGACTCCAGTTTCTTTAGTCTAAAAAGGTTCTTCCATATATCTACTTCTTTAATATTTGGCTTATATCAATGATTATATTTAAATAATACCATTCCTTCCAGATCCTTATAATACTTTAACTTCTGCCAACTAATTTTTGCTTGCCCACAGTAGTTTAAGTACAGGCATTAGTACTTTTGTTAGCTTATTACTATACTTCCCAAACTGTAGTTCACGGTACCTGGGGTGGTACACTGTCTACTGGAGAAAGAATATAAGAAACTAACCAGAAAGTAAGAAAACAAGCAGAAAAGGAATTCCTTCATCAAACAGAAGCTTCATATTCATTTGAGAATTGCAGCAGATTAAATTATTAAAAGTTCAAAAACTCCTGGAGGCTGCGTCCTTTCAATCAGAAACTGGAACAAGGATCTGGGAATGCTGTCAAAGGCCTGTGGATGCAATCTGCCATTAAACAAACTTAATAATGAGGTTAACCTATGATTAGCCATCCAGACCAGTGACAGCATATTTCTCTATATTAGGATATTTTGTTAAAAAATCACAGCAGGTAAATTTGTCTTTACTAAAAAAGCTAGTGTGGCTAGATCATTTTTTAATATGAAACTATTTTGTTGAAATTGTTTTATTTTTTTTCAAATATATATTGGATCCTTCTGTCTGGGCCTTAGGTTAGCAATGATCTGAATGTATCAAGTTTAACTATTTTGTTTTATTTTATTTTATTTTTTATCTCTAGTCGAATCGTACTTGTTGTTGCATAAAGATTATAGCAATATTGCTTGTTTTCTTGATATCCTGCAGCACCGGTTTATGAGGTTTATTGAGGTTTTAAATGCATGGCAGCCATGTTTGATTTTTTTTTTAAAGGTCAGGGTTGAGACAGTTCAAATTCCAACATCAGGGGCCTTTCTAGTCGTATTTCTGCCCCAATCAGTACCCCTTTAAAACATTTAATTCATTTATTTATTTCTTTTGTCGTTATATTACCACACTAAAGAGAATTTAAGGTCTTGTAAATGCTGCAGGAAAATAAATGTTATTTTGCAGATATGCTGTGTGGATACACTTTCAGGGAAACCTAAAATTGCAATATTATTATTTACAGTGAAGATTTCCCATAAAGTGGATTTGATCACTAGTCTTTCTTTTCCAACATCACCATCTACGCAAAGCTCTCTGATGGTGGCTTTTCAAGATTCATACTAGGCATAAAAGCCTGGAAGCCTACACTGGCCAAATGTATTACTGGAAAGCAGTACCATAATGCACTGTACCTAAAGTTTGTTAACCTTCAAAAAACAGCATGCAAGCTGTTCTTTTGCACACATGGATATTTGGATTTAATTCATTTTGGAGCTTTAATACTAACCCATCAATGTTTTCTCTCACTTGTAGCCTGATAAGCTGTCCTTATATATTTGTGTGTCAGATTGGAGTTGTGTTTTTTAATATAATGACAAGTAAAATAAGCATCCTCAGTTACTCAAATGAGTTTGCTTTGATTTCCTAGGATGCTGCAGCATACCTTACGGAGCACTCTGCCACATGGAGGCCAGCCTAGGCCCTGTCCGAGACCGTTTATAAACCACAGAGCAGAGAACACCGCCACAGTGGAGGACCAGGAGAAGATCACATTGATGCCTCCCACCACGAACAGGCCGATGGAGAACAGCCACCGGGCACTGATCTGGTCTGAAAGCACGCCACTGATGAACTTACTGATAGCATAGGCCAACGACTGACTGCTGGTGATCATGCCTGCAGAGAGAAACAGTCCATAAAGCAGCTGCTTTAAATATTCATAACATCATTTCTGCAAAAGAAACAGATTGTAAACATGGAAATGCATAAAGCAATGTTGAGATTTATTTAGAAAAAACAAACATAAGAGTCTCATACCCAGGTCATCTTTATCCAACTTAATTTCTTGCATCACAGAAGGCATCACGAAGGAAAAGGTCTTTCTGTTAAAGTAATACAGTGTATAGCCCACAAACATGGCCAGGAATATGGTGGCTCTGTAGTATCCGTAATCTGCTGTAGCCATGGTTGCAGTTTCAGCCCTTGCAGAATCTGAGAAAAACAAAAAGGATCAAACTGCTGCCTTTTTTTTACAGTCCTGTGCTGCCTGTGACAGTGAACTTTGCTTGGGGATCCAGGGTGCAGGAACAGCTGCTTCAGCCAGGAGCTGTTTGCAGTCAGTGCAGTGAGGTTAATGGTCAACTTCTCTACCGGCAGGCTGATTGAATCTGGGCTGTCACCATGTGTGCTGGTCAGGACAGGAAACCTTCTGAATGAGGCATCAACTCAGCATAGCCAGGAAATCAGCTGTCCTTGTCCTCAGATGGTGTTTTTGAAGGAGTCCTCAGATGTATAATCATTTACCAGAGTCCAACAGTCCCGGCACAGTGAGGGGAGGCTCCCATTCATTTGAGGGGTTGGTTTGCTCTGGGGCCCCAAGCCCAGTTCCTCCTGGAGATGCCAAACTCACTGGAGCTAAATGCCCCTTTAATCCATAAAAACTCAAATAAAGATGCAATAAACGCTGACTTTTTAAAAATGCAACTAGGAGGATTAAGGTTTTTAAGTTTGACTAAATAACTTCGTCCTACATTTGTACACATCGAGGCTGAAAGTCGCTTTGACGCGTACAGTTCCGCATCATGTGGGCCAAATGGCGCCGCCCAGCGTCCAAGAGCCAATACGACCACAGCGGAGGAGGAGCCCTGGAGACAAACTCATTCAAGTTTTTTCCCTTGAATTTATCAAACCGTTTTGGTCAGAAAGCAAACAAAAAATATATGATGTAATGAAAATTTTTTTACGAATTTAATTATTTGCATGGCATTTAATGATAAAGGTAAATACGTTAAAACTGTTTCATAATCTGTATGTGTCCACAATGTATTAGATATATAGTTACACATTTCCATTAGTAGATAATTAACTCAAAACTTAAGGCTTAAGCTTATGGCCATACAATTTAATTAGTTTAAATTGTATATTTTACATTTCGAGATGCTGCAGCTCCTAAAAGTTAAAATAGACATGTATGTATAATAACTGCGATATAATGTCTTTTTATTGATAATAACAAAATCTAATTAAAAAGCAGCCAAAAACAGATTAAAAAAGGTAGTTTGTTCCTTTAACTTTTTTGAAAATATTATGACACTAATTATTACTTTTTGTCATGCGTTTAAATTTGTAGTATTTAATTTGAGGTGTGTAGTTTTTAGTTATTTAAAATAATATTAAACATAAAGAGTTTTCCCCAACAACCTCCGCGCTTTCCCTCTGGTGGCCAGCAGAGGGCGACATCGATAGGGTCATTTCACTTATTTGAGTTATATTTCATTTGAGCAAACATTACTGTGTCCCGTTAGTTTGCTTTTTTTATATATACATACACTGTTTAACTGCATGTTTCATATCATAAATAATAGTATGAGTCTTCTGAATGATGTTTACAATAACAATAGCTGCATAAAAGCTGTTGTTTTGTTTTTTTTAAAGCAGAATTTAAATGGGCCTGTTTAGACATTTGGATACTGAAAATAGAATAAACCTTGTTTAAAGAATTTTAAGCCAGTAGATATTGTGAGTGTTTAATTTTTTTATGCAAAAATACAATTATGATTTAAAATAAAGGTGTGAGGATAATCTTCTATACGTGTTATTTTAATGGTGTCACAAGACAACATTTAAAACAAAACACTCAAAGAATCGTTATTAAATTAGAAACGGCCTAGAAATGTAGTTGCAATCGAACCAACATAACAAAAAAAGCACATTTAAAAAATATTCTGTCAAGTAGGAATCCTGAGTGCTTTGAAGGGTAGCTCCGCCCCCTTTTACCAACTGTATTGTATTGCCATAGCAACCGTCAACACACATATCGGGAGCCAGGATTACCAGTAGGTTGTTCCTTTCCTTTAAAAGTGTTGCCCACATAAGCCTTCGTCATGGTAAGTTTTACAGGAGCTTTCTTGTTTTTATTTCCCCTTTAGTTTCTAATCCTAACTTTTAAGCCTGTATCTCGACGCCATGATTAAAAATAATCCTGATCAGGTGTTTTTTTTATTTTTTATTACTAATCCCAAAGTCTTCTGGGAAAAGATTTCATGCTGGCAGGTACCGTAGATTGGCCCCCACATCCCAGGTGGATGAGACCCTGTTTGACCTCCACAAACCGGTAGGTGTCTATTTACCTACAAGGCCTGACTGCTTTTTTAGTTCAAATTGTTCTTGAAACAAAACCTTGAGAGTTTTATCTATCTATCTATCTATCTATCTATCTATCTATCTATCTATCTATCTATCTATCTATCTATCTATCTATCTATCTATCTATCTACTGTGCCATCTAGAACATTGCACAGTTCACATGAACTGATTTATATAGAATCCATTTGATTTTCTAAGGGAAATACCAACCTTTCAGTCCTGAAAAGGAGATCCTGATTTTGCTTTGTTCTGATCTTTTTCTAAAGTTACCAGTATTCTTTTTAACTTGCAGAAAACATTATTCATCTTGGTTGATTTATAGTGTGTAAATGATTGGAGTGTTTGAATATTTAATGTAAACGGGGCAGCAGATTATAGAGTTGTGCTTGAAATGAAAGAAAATTTAACATTCACAGTAGTGATTCAAATAACAGAACACTGAAAAAGTAATAATAAATAGAATTTACTAAATGATAATTTAATAAAAATAAAATATTTATATTAAATTTTTGTTAAAAAAGCAATAAAAAAGTACCAGACAACAAATTAAAGTACCTTAATGAACCGTAAACATACATACCTGCTATATATGTGTGTGTGTGTGTGAGGTGTGGCCATGTCTTTAATACCTGGT